AATACATCATCAACATATCTAAACCAGACTGCTGAGGGTGGTAAAATATTATTTAATAGTTTCTTTTCAAAGAATTCCATATATAGGTTGCTTAATACAGGTGAGAGTGGATTACCCATTGCCATACCAAATTTTTGAGCATAATATTCCCCATTGAATTCGAATTTGCAATCCTTAATACATAGTTTGATGAGTTCGATGAAGTCGTCTTTCGAGACGGGCAGTGAAATGTTATCCAGGGAATCTATGAGGAACTCTAGTAAATCATCAACTGGGACCTTTGTAAAGAGTGACGTTACATCAAAGCTGACCAGTTTAAAATCATGATTAATGTGTAAGTTATTGAGTTTATCAACCAGATCCATATTATTCTTGATATTGGAGTTAGAAATGTTGCCAACTAGGGGATTTAGTAAAGAAACTAACCATTTAGATAGTTTATAAGAGCTTGACCCAACTGAGCTAATGATGGGTCTTGCTGGGCTATTGGGCTTGTGGGTCTTGATTACACCGTACATGTATGGCAGTGGAGGGGACGTTGAAGTAAGATGTTTAATGAGAGTAGCTTTGCCTCTCAATAGGGACTTCAGTTTTTTGTTGAACTGGGTGTTGACAGTGTTGAGAGGATTATTTATATATATATATATACAGTAATACCCCGCTTAACATGGTTTCGCTTAGCGCGATTTCACGAATACACGGTGCCTCGCCAGAGCCGAACTTTCACTTAACGCGGGTTTTTTCCACGTATACGCGCAGAGTGTCCGGCTGGAGAGCTATTTTTAGATTCGCCCCACCCGCCACCCTGCCTGACTGCCTGCCTGCCTGTTTTAGCTCATAAAATTCATACAAATTACCCGGCCAGAATATAATTTACATTGCTGGAATTCTTACAATATGATGATCATTTTGAATATAAACATCATAGATTTTGCATTAGACATACAAATTTTAGATATAATGTTTACTCTGAGTAAATATGTTATTTTTTGTGCAAAATATATGACGTTTGTATTCAAAATATTCCTAGTCTTACAAGGAATCCAGCAATGTCAATTATATTATCCTAACTTTAGTTTGAGGTACTATTTATTACTAAAAAGGTAAATATTCTGGTTTTCCCACACATCTGGTAGGGAGGGACGGACCGACCATCTGTTACCGTGTGAAGAATATTTTTTTTTTTTTATTAACTGAAGATATTTGTTTTAGCTCATAAACTTCATACAAATTACCCGGCCAGAATATAATTTACATTGCTGGAATTCTTATAATTTGATGATAATTTTGAATATAAACATCATAGATTTTGCATTAGACATACAAATTTTAGATGTAATGTTTAAGCTGAGTAAATATGTTATCTTTTGTGCAAAATATATGACATTTATATTCAAAATATTCCTGGTCTTACAAGGAATCCAGCAATGTCAATTATATTATCCTAACTTTAATCTGAGGTATTATTTAATACTAAATGTTAAAATTTAGTTTTTTCACCCAACATCTCTTGAAGGGAGGATTGGTGGGGGGTGGGGGGGAGGGTTGGGACAGACCGCGTGGTTGGAAGAGGGGGGGAGGCAAGGTGGGGTACTTTGATTGACAGATAGTGTTGTGAAGAATATTTTTTTTTTTATTAACTGAAGATATTTGTTTTAGCTCATAAAATTCATACAAATTACCCGGCCAGAATATAATTTACATTGCTGGAATTCTTACAATTTGGTGATCATTTTGAATATAAACATCATAGATTTTGCATTAGACATACAAATTTTAGATATAATGTTTACTCTGAGTAAATATGTTATCTTTTGTGCAAAATATATGACATTTATATTCAAAATATTCCTGGTCTTACAAGGAATCCAGCAATGTAAATTGTATTATCCTAACTTTAGTTTGAGGTATTATTAAAATTTAGTGGTTTTCCCCCCAAAATTTCTCAGAGGGAAGAGCCAGCAGTGTAGTGTGAGAAGAGGGGGAGGGAGTTGAGTCCATTATTTGAATGGACATTAACTTGGCGACTGTATTTCTCTATTTCTCTTAAGTATTAATTGTGTGCATGTACCATCATAAAATTAAGATGTTATTTTTACTAGAACATAGGTATTGTGTTGGAAAAAGTAGAGTTTGGGGGTCAGGCCAGTTTCTATTGGAATTAAACCCATATGTTCTGTTGTTCACTTAGCGCGGTTTTCACTTAACAATGTACCCTGTGGGTTTTATTGACCGCGTTAAGTGGGGTACTACTGTATACCGGTAGTTAACCAACCGATAGCAGGTCATAGACCCCAAACTTCTATGCAATATGAGAAAGCTTGGAAACTTTTTCAACAATTTATCAGGTTAACGACTCCAATCACATGGTCGGAAACAGTGGTGTTAGAATTTTTAGATTTTCTGTTGGGTTAAAGGCCTTCAAGGATTGACAAATGCATCTTATAAATCAGCATTGGTTGACCCTCTGGCATGGGGTTTTAATATTACTTTGAATCAAAGAATTTTTCAAATGCTCAGATCGTCCTTTTTCATACAGAGACCTCCTCGACCTAAGAGAATCCCACCTTGGTCTCTAGATAAAGTTACTAAATTTCTTAAGGGGCCTAATTACAATTTAAATCCGAATCGGGACAGATTGCTCCTGAAGGCAGCCTTCCTTCTAGCAATAGCAACAGGTATGAGAATCAGTGAACTGATTTCAATTTCCAATAATCCATCATTATTGGTATTTTCTGAGGAAGATGTCACCCTTTTTCCGACGGAGATCCTAAGAAAAAATGAAATGGAGGATTTTCAAGCTCAAACTATTAGGCAGGGGTTCCTCATATATTGTGCCCAGTTAGGAATCTTTATGAATGGTTAACCAGATTCCCTAATTGAGGCCCCTATGTATTCTCATCACAGGATGGAAAGAAATTGTTTCCTAGTCAAATGAAAAATATTTATCTCCGTTAGTGAGTAAAGCAGACCCTGGCAAGAAATTTTTGGTATATGACACCAGGAAATATGAAGGGTCTGTGGCCTTTCTGTGGCATATGAGCCTCAGTCAGATCAAAGAAGTGGCCCTTTGGTAATCTTCAAAAACTTTTAAAGACAGCTATCTTCATCTATCTCTGAAAGATGCTTCACATGTGGTGGTGCTGGGTTCCCCTCCCCCACCTGGTCAATCTCCACAACCAGGACCTTCTTCCTCATCAGAGTAAAGTAAGTATCCTAATTGGGATATGTAAATTAACATTTTACCTTCTGGTAAATGTTCCTAATATTGGAAAATATTCTAAAAAAGTTTATAATTATAATCTGGACCTAAGCTAGCAGAGCCTTATACGCAACTTCACCTCCCTCTCCACCTCCTGCATGGGTATTCATGCTAGGCGTCGCATTCTGGATTGAACAAAAAGCCATTTTTTTTCTAAAAACCAGTTTTTGTGATATAGTCCAGAATGCGACGTCAACATCCCACCCATCTCCACCCCTCGAGAATTGACATTTGCTTACTGTTCGCTCTAGGGCAAGAGATGACGGTAGCAATGAGTGTGATGGAGGGTGCAGGAGAAGGTTTTGAGAATTGCAATTAAATGCCAGGTAGCGACGTGTCCTAATATTACGTACAGTATTAAGTAATTATTAGATGTTTTAATTGCCTGTATGTTGACCTGGCGAGTTATTGCTAGGCATTAACATACCTAGGTATAAGCAAGGCGTTGCATTCTGGACTATATCACAAAAACTGGTTATTAGAAAAAAAAGGCTTTTTCTTTAACATCAATGGTTAGTTCTACTGTACATTAAATAACATTAATCAAAATACCCTATACATATTTTTTTTACATTAATTTTACTATAGCAACAACCAGGGTCTTATTTTCTTAAGTTTCAGATGGATAACTGACATTATGAGTGTAAACACCTACAACAATAGCGCCCCATCTCCTCTTGTGTGATCTTATTATCATTGATTTATACTGTATAAGGTGCATTCATAAACATTACTTGAAGAATATACTGTAGTTTGCATTTTTCATTAATTTTATTGTTTTGGGGGAAAAGTGGGTAAAAAGCCACACAAAAGATATGAAAGGGTCACACTTGGGAAAGCATCTCATTATTATTGCTTTATTTTAATGGTAATTAATGATTCACGATATGATGAGTCACCTTACACTGCAATATTGGAAGACACATTACTGTCGTTATTCAATGCTTTACTTATGTAGTTTTATATACACTATATGACCTAAGAAACATTATGGGGGTCTATCTAATAACTCACAACTCCCCTGCAAGTAGCCTTGTATTATGTGATCCTCCTTAAATATAAGATACAGTATGCCCTTCAAATTCGCAGGGGTTAGGTTCTCAAAATAGCCGGAAATCGCTTTATGTGTTTGCCCTTAGGACAATTATTTTTTTACCCGTACTGTATATATGTGTGTGTGTAACACACAATTACAGGTGCTTCTCTACTTACTAACGAGTTACGTTCCTGAGGCTTGTTTGTAAGTCCAACTTTACTCTTGTAGATACCAAACATATTGTAAAAAATGAAAATGGTATGGATATTTAGTACAGCTATACTCTTTAATACAGCCTTAAAACCTGGTTCACTCTTGTCCTCTTAGGTAATGTTTGTTCTATCTGGAATTTTCTTTAAAATAATCCAGTCTCATCCATATTAAACACCTATTCTGGCAGGTGACCCCCCCCCCCACCTCAGTGATGAAGTTTGTGAGTTGAACGTTCTTAAGTAGAGGAGCACCTGTATATATACAATACAGGTAAAGGAAATTACTGTCTCTAGAACGAATGGCTCCCTGTCCTGGCCACGAAAATGCCGGCAACTTTAAAACTACAGTACCCACAGACATTCTTGGGTACATCCAGGGTGTCATCTGCTAATAATAAGAGGACCGCAAAATAAAAATCCCTTAATTATCTGGGCGTACTGTAACTATAAATTATCCTCTCTACAGAATCCTTATTATGTTAAAACCCACCTGGATTGTTTTGTCTTCTGCCAAGGAAGTTCTGCATGAATGGATGTACTGCACCATTTGCCTGCAACCATAAAAAATATATCATGATGCAATTTACTGCACAAGCCAGCATTATACTGTAATACAGTAAGTGTCTCAATCATTTCATTTACTGACATAAGATGTATGATAAACTGAAAATCACTGCAAAATAGAAAGAACATAATAATGAAGGACAGTCATAAACCCCCTCTACTGCAGGAGGCCAGGGAGATGAATACCTGTGAGCAATCCTTAAGATACACACCACCACCAACCACTCCTTCCCCTGACCAAGAGTCATGTAATGCTTAGCAAAAAAAATAATCCCAGCCATTTGGATAAAAACAATATAAGCAATGACACAATACAGCCTAGATAATCCAGATCCATTAACCCCTTCACTACGGGGACACCACTTTTAATATTATATTTGGCTAACGGCTGATGATTTTATTCAGCACAAGTGGTTAAGTGTTAGACCAGTGAGGCATTCAGGTTTGAAGACTCACAAGCCCATCATCATTGTTATCACCATCACCATCATTTTGAGGTCATTTTCCTTCCTTTACTGATGATTATATGACGGCAGCTCTCCAATCTGTGCAGTCTCTTGTTGCCTTTCTCATCAGGTTTTTATCTTTGAGGTAATTTTTCACCTTTCCCCATGTCACTCTTGACCTACCACTACCCCATCACATTCAAACTCATGCATCTCTTCATTATTGTTCTCTCTAAGCTGTATGCCAGCACGGCCATTCAACAACCAAGTCTGTGCCACACACTTAATCATTCTGGCTACACACAGTAGGCAGTGTCATGGTTGATCAAGGTGGGGGAGGGTAGTGAGGGAGGACAATCGCTCCTAAACCACAGCTCTCCCTAACAACATTGCCAGCACTCACCCTCTCTCAAGCACCTTTGTTGTCACTGCTGAAAAGGGTTGGTGCTTACCACAAGATCTGTCTTCAACACTTAGAATATAATATTGTAGCATATTATCCAAACTTCATAAATATTATTGTAGTGTATTTTGTCTCCATATACCCTGATTTATCCACTGATCATTTGTCTAGGTGTACAAGTAGCCAAATTGAGCTGCTATGTATCATTCAAAAGTAAGAAATAACATTTTTATGCAGGTATAGTATCTCCATATCAAATACTATACAGTAGTAGGCAGCTACTAAACAGGGAGGTACTACTGCCTGGGAAGATATTGGAAAAATAATGTATTGTCTAATGGTAGACCTTGCTGCCATATGGCATCACAAAAATTGTGACCAAGTCCCAGGTTGCTGATCTGACTTTCTGCCTTATTTACACACAGATGCAGGGTCTCAATTGTTTCTCATAAGAACATAAGAACATAAGAATGGAGGAAACTGCAGAGGGCCTATTGGCCCATACTGGGCAGTCCCATTTACACCCAACCCCTATTGCTCACATATCCATCCAACCTATGTTTGAAGTTATCCTGCGTATTCGAGTTAATGATGATATTTGGTAAGGAAGCCTTTACCTGAGGAGGTTCGGAGGCATTTCCCATCCCCGCATCTGCACTTAAAGTCGAGCTTCTCGTGGGTGACTCAATGATCAACCAGGCTGTGCGGACCCTCGTGCGGGTTACAACACTTTAAGAATATCAAGATCACTGCGGCGTCGAGACGAGAAAGTCAGCCATTGGAATTATTTAGTTTTAGAATAACAGATTAAAATAATATACTGAGATAAGTTGTACTGCTCATACTAGTGACAACACAACTTGCATATATTGTTTCTCACTATTGATATATTTTAATTTTTGTATTTATTTATCGCTCTTTACTATTACTATTATTATTACTATTATTATTATTATTATTATTATTATTATTATTATTATTATTATTATTATTATTATAATTTATATTACATTTTATTAATTTTATTATTATTATTATTTTCACCCCCCAGGCCTTGATGTGGGTCATAAAATGACCTGTGCCCGGGTGAGCTAATGCCCGTAAAAAAATAAAAAATAAAAGTTCTCGCTTAACATCAGGGTTACGTTTCTGAAAAAGCGACATTATACGAAACACCGTTAAGCGGATCAATTTTCCCCATAAGAAATAGATAAAATACGGGAGTTACATTCCCCAGCCTCCCTTTGACCCATGAAATACATTACATATACATAAATTCAAAGCTCCTTGTGTGATGCCTGGTGAGGTGCTTGTATGCATTACTATAAAGTCACATTCATTGAGATTTTATAAGAGAAAAACTCAAAACTCCTCTACATGACAGTAAATAAATACAGTGAAACCTCTAAAATTCGAACCTCAAAAATTCGGATACATCTAAAATTCGAATAGCATCTGATTAAAAAAAAGTGCCAAAATTTTAGGTTTAGAATTTTAAAATATCGCCATAATAATTCAAGCTTCCAAATGCGATCATAATGCTGAGCACAACAAGCGCATCCAGGTTCCAAGACATGCCAGGTCACGCATTGTATCCAGTACAGTGAAGGTGGATGGAGACGGAGTGTTGTACAGTACAGTATTTGGAGACTGTACTGGAGACTGGCAGGATTACATGGAGACCACTGTAGCTATAATGTTCTAAATACATTATAATAAATGTTGTTGAATGTAAATACAGTAATACTTTTAATTTATTATGCCTATTGCTTATTCACAGTTTCTAGATATGTAAATAATTTGTGTAGCATGTTTTTATACAACAATTTGCTCTGGCGCTTCCATACATCTAAAATTTGTACACTTCACGGTCCATGCAATTCAAATTTTCGAGGTTGCACTGTACCACTAGGTGACCTTGGGCGGGGGCTGGTCCAGTTGTCATAATACATCACCTCCCCCTCCACTTCCGGCAAGATTGACAGTGGTTTAGGCTTACAGTTTTTATCTTATAAAATGTCACAAACTAAAGTTATCAGAATATAAATTACATTGCTGGAATCCTTGCAAGACAGCGAATAATATAAATATAAACATCATATATTTTGCACAAGAGATAAAAACTTTAGTACCTCAAGTACTTTTAAGTACTGTACAGTTTTGCAACTTATTTTTCAGTACCCGGTAGATATAGTAACTTTCTTCATTTATTTTTACTCATATACATGCACACACCATCGTAAATACGTTAAAAAGGCAAATAGTAGTCTGTGACGACTCAAATGACATTGTACCAAGTTACCGAGACGTTAAACAAATTTTTGGTCCCTAAAGTTTAGCGATGTAGTACCAAAACAACGTTAAGCGAGGACTTACCGTACAGTACAGGACCCACATTCACAAACATGGCCGTAACTTTGATCGTATCTCTCCCCTTATCTGGAGAGGCTACAGTGACCGTAAGAGATTGGTAATAGGCGATTCACTAAAGGTTCATACGGTGACCCCAAGTAAGTTTAGTTTAGTAAATTACCACCAGAGGATGCTGTGGTGTATTTTTGTTTCCTCACTAGACCAATCACTGTGCCCAGAACAAACACTGAAAGAATATTAACCAATCACAAGTTACCCATGCCAGCAGATACCACATAAGAACAATGGAGGGAATATAGTTTTAAAGAAGAGGCAGCTCAATTCCTCTGATGAGATCTTCATTAATAATAATAATAATACAATTATTGTCATTAGTACAGTACTATTATTTTGGAGCAAATCCTCCTTATAATTCTTGACACAGTTGACTGTCTTAAGCTGGAAACTACCACTTGTGAAAAACCTCAAAGCTCTTGAGGCTTTCTTACCCAAATTTTAACATGATCTAAATTATCGCTTTAGGGTTTTCATAGGCAAATTTACGTATGACCTCAAAAATTATAATAAAATAATTTTATGTTTGCGTATGAACACAAGATAAGCAAGACACACAATTGGCAATGACGGTGTGATCTGGCACCCATATAGACTGCCTCCCTTGTGGTTCAACAGCACAGGATATAACCTTGACCCACATTTCCCACCATTTTCTTTTAGCTTGTGCCAATTTCTCGTTCATCACGGTGATTTCATTTATTGATGACAGTGTTAGTTTGCAACCATGCCTCATGTTGCTGGCAAAGGTGGAGGGGCGGCATAATCTCAAAAGTGCGAGGAGATTGTACCACATGGAGATAGTGTGATGCCTCCTGAGGCCTCTCCCAGTGTCCCTGGCCCTTCTAGTGCAAGTGATAGTTTGTCTGGCCCTTCAACAAGCAGCCCTAGTGCAAAAGGCAAGTTGTTGTGGCTAAAAGGAAAAAAAAAATGGTGCACATGTGTTAACTCTGCCATCACAGCGTGGCTTACCTCGTGAACTGCTCATCTCCCGCACAAGTGTGCACTACCCGTACTCCCACTATAATTAGATTTAGTTGCCTTGTTCAGGCTAAGCACGGCACTGTAGGGTATAGAGGAAGGACAGGTAAATACAGTAATTCATTTATTTGTACAAAAATATATACTGTATACAGTAAGTCCTTGCTGAATGTTATTTCTGTACTAAGTTGCTGAACTTTAGAGACCAAAAATTAGTTTAATGTCCCGGGGATCCGATACTACGTCGTTTTGTGTCGCCACGGACTACTTTCTACGGGGCATCACCGCTCTTCTCTGGCTGCGCTACACTTTCTCGGGTCGGCGTGCTGCCCTTACTCGTGGAACGTCACAGCGTCCCCAAGGAACGACAAGTCAGTCTCTGTTACGACTTCACATCATTCGTGTGTACTTAAGTGCTTTTGCTCTAAAACTGTACTCTAACCATTCAAAATGGTTTCCAAGCGCCCATCAAGTGCTACTGACGCTAGCTTAGTGAGGAGGCAACGTAAGACCATTACCATGGCTATGAAAATGGATGTATTAAACTGATTTGAAAAAGGGAAACCTGCTGTGGACATAGTCGCTGTGCTTGGTCTAACCCCCACAACAGTGCGTACTATCCGGACCAACGCTGACAAGATTAAGGTTAGTGCTGGAAGTGGTTCTTCTCTGAGTGCTACTAAGACAACTCGTACTAGAAGCACTGTAATAGAGAAGGTGGAAAAGATGC